TAGGCTTCTACTTTATTTTCTTACAAAGTTTGACTTTTGTATACACAGAAATCCGACCAAAGAACTGTATCTTCTTCTTCTTTTTTGTTGGGTCAGAATATTGTATCTTTTTCAAGATTTGTAAGATATAAGTCTGAAATCCAAAAATAAAAGGATAAACTATTAGTGAGTCTCAATACAGTAACAAATTGCTGAGAGAACATGATACATACTACAAAACCAAATACAATGGTTATACAAGGAGCCTGAGACGGACATATAACATATTCTAGTCTCGGACTTGAGAGATATAGGAGCCTAGATGCAGAACCTCCTAGTTATAAAAAATAATATACACACCCATAACAAAGTAAACTGAGTTATGCTAATCAGCCTAATCCGAATCGCTAAGTACATCATGGGCCTCGCTGCCCAATACGTAATACACGTTGGATATCCATGAGGGAGATGGGAAAAACAGACAATACTCAGGGATCTCTCCAACAGATCTAAATCCTTGAGAACCAAATTCAAACACCTGAGGTCCATAATGTCCAAATATATCCTTGAAGATTATAGAGTTGGGTCTGAAACCAGGAACCTGATTAGGAAAGCAAGAGAAGGAGCAATTGTTGTCTAGAAACAAGATGCGATCACCCGCATCTTCTGTTTGAATCCAATCGTTTCCCTCCTCGTTTAACTCCGATACTATGAACCATCCTTTTTTCGCTAGGAGATGGGGTCTCTGATACTCTTGTATGTTATCGGTGCACATCTCTACTAATAAGAGTTTATCCTCAGCCTTGACAAACTGTTCAACATAGACAATATAGTTCAAATTTTCAAATACTTTATTTGTTTTTATTTTATATTAAATGTTTCCTTTTTCATATCAATATCCTGATTTTTGGATTGATATTAGGGTTAGACCATCCACAATGGTGTTACTCCTTTGGAGTCCTTAAGAAAAATGTTTTTTGAATTTTTAATTATTATTTTTTCAGATTAAAAAAAAAAAAATCAACGAATTACGGATTGCCACATGTAAGGATTCTCTAAAAAAAGAATACTTACGTAAGGATTTTTTGAACATAATCCTTAACTTTTAATGGGGTCCACTGATTATTTAATTATGTTTTCTTAAGGATTTTCCGCTAAGGGCCGCTATTGCGGATGTTCTTAGAGATTTTTAGTTTCGGTCATTAACTAAGGAAAAGTGAAATTATAAAAAAGCTTCCCTTTAAATTTAGAAAACATGTTGTACTTGTAAGTAGGTGGGAAAAAAATACCGACTTTTGAAAATTAAGTTCCCCCCTTACCCAACGTCTCCTTGTCTTATCGCAAGGCCTTGATTGCTGAAACGAATACAACTCTAGAGTTGGCGTCACCACTTTCGTGACTCCAACAGTATCAATGACATAAAATTGTCCGTTAAACGACGTAATCCCATCTGGAAAAGGACCAGATGTCGTCTCGATCTCGGTCCAACGATCCTCTAATGATCTATACACGCCAAGACCTTGGAAAGACAGCCTTCCTAAAACCAAGAATTCATTGTTCTTTTCATCTAACCGCATAAAACCGATAGGTTGTTCACGTTTATAAGGGTCGCCATCCCACCAATTGGTGTAACAAGCGACATGTTCTTGAACTAGCTCAATGACTTGAGAGTTGAGCCAGTCAATTAACAAGCTTGGATATGAAACTCCTCGATGAGAGGAGGTTCTTCTATTGAGAAAAGATTGGAGAGCAAGTACTCCATTCTCCTCTTCTTGTAGTTTAAACAACCTGCGAGGATCACAAATTCTCGTATAAGATTTTCTATCTTTCTCAAGTAAGGCAAGGCTAAGTATATGTTTTGTTGAAGAATATTCCATAGAGGAAATATGATGGGATATGAATAAGTAGTTTTGAGATAGAAGAAGTCCATGCATGGTATCAGAGGCCAAACACACGTTGTGGGTCAAACCGAAATCGATTAGACCAATCGAATGAGGTTTGATCGATTTAAACCAAAAATGATACAACAAGAAATTAGTCTGACTGATCAAATAGAAGTTAATCTTAAATTAGTATATTTTGTAGATTAATGATGGATATCCCACGTCGAAAAGTCATTGACACTGAGTAATCTATAAGTGACATGGTCAATCCACTCATTGTTAGTTTGTCACAAGTCAAAATATAGAAGGTTGTGAAATTTCTAACACATTGGTTTAAATTCAAAAAAAAAAAAACATAAAAGCTAGGGAACAAGAAGGACCAACATATAAACTGTTGTAGGAGAATTTTAATTACCAGAATCGGGGAGGATCGTGAGAAAGAGATGTGACAAGATAAACACGGCTCCTTAAGATATGGCAATCATCTCCACAACCACCAGCATCTTGGGGAAGAGGACATCTAAGTGATGGAATTGGTCCGAACGTTTGAAGACTGCATGATCGCCACCATGAACATACCGATCGAAAATGGGTCAGATCGAAAGGGTTGTCAATTCTCAGAGAGATCATGTGGATGATCTCCGGTGGCAACTCCGACCATCCGGGCATTTCCTTCTTCTTCTTCTTGGGAATAGATCCTTCTTCTCTTTTAACTCGTTTTTCTTTCTCTGTTTGTTTTCTTGGGGTTGAAGAAATGTGTTGACATTCTTGCTTGCCGTCTAGTCCAAGCTGTATATAAAGTAGTAAAATTAATATATCAAGCGGTACTACATTATTCTCCTTCCAGATAAAATACAATCTCACATATCATATTAAAATCCATTGTTATCTCATATCTGTCATTTTGACTAACTTAAAGTTTTCATCATTTTTGTTGTTGTTGTCACGTTTATACCATTTGTACTTTAAAGTTCAAGTTATGTATGCTGATCCAGTAATGAGCTTGTTTTGCTCATTTGTAGGTGTGGACTAATCTCATTACGTAATGAAACAATTTTTATGGTCTAGTTACAACATAAACAAATCAAAGTCACTTATTATTAGGAGCCAACACAGTTACACGGGTGAAAGTTTTAGAAATGCAAAAGTAATTACTTAAAAATGATATTCATGTTTGTTGATATGAGATCATTCGTTGGAGATTACCCAACCTGGGGGAGTTCCAAACAGCTCAGCATACTCTGGTATATCTTTTAAAGATCTAACGCCATGCTCACTGAATTCAAACACAAGAATTCTTTCATGTAAATCTAAGTCGTCAGATGTATCCCACGTGTCCAAGAAGACTATAGAGTTGGCTCTAAACCCCGGAATCTCAGAAGCTAAGCACGAGAAGGAGCAAAGATAGTCCAGAAACAACACATGATCTTCTAAATCTTCAACTTGATCCCATTCGTTTCTCTTTTCATCTAGTTTTGAGATTTCAAACCATATCTTGTCCTCGTACAAATCATATCCCCATTCTATGTACACCTCCACAAGAAGGAGTTTGTCCGCTGACTTTAAAAGCTGTTGATGATAGATAGAACAAACAAAAACATAAACATTAGTTTAGAAACATGATCTTCGTAACTCTACCCCATTCAAAAAAAAAAAAAACATGTTAGTCGGCTTACCCAACGTCTCCTTATATTATCATATATATGGCCTTGACCGGTGAAACGTGTTCACTTCTAGTGTTGTTGGCTCTACCACTATTGTTCTCCCGATGCGATCTATGGCATAGAACTTACCTTTATATGCAACTATTCCTTGGGGAAATGAATCAGTTTTTATCTCAAGCTCAGTCCAACACTCGTCGACTGACCTATACATGGCGAGACCCTCAAAGGAGAGCTTCCCAAGAATAGCAAACTTGTTGTTCTTTCTGTCTAATCCCATAGAGCCGATAGGGTCTACACAGTTGATGTTCAACTCGAAGAGACATTGACTGAAACAAGCAAGGTGTTCTTGCACTAGCACGAAGATTTGGCAGTTGAGCAAGTTAAGTGAAAGCTTCGGATGCAAGCATTTGTCCTCAGAATAGTTTCTTCTTAAGAACAAACTATATAGAACAATTTCTCCATTCTCGCTCTCGCCTAGTTTAAACAACCTGTCAGGAACAAATTAATATATAATAAAGTACCGTCAAGATTCAAGAACCAATTCAAGATTTTTTTTTTATTTTTGTTCTTACCAGTATTTGGGTTTAGGGCTGCTATTAGGAGACTTGATGAGGTAAACACAGCTGTTCAAGATATGGCAATCATCACCACAACCTCCTGAATCGAGGGGAAGAGGGCATTTAAGCGGTGTCATTGGTCGGAATTTGAGGATACTAAAAGATCGCCAAGAGCAACAAACTGACCGAAAGTGGATCAGACTAAAAGGATTGTCGATTTGCAAGGAGATCGCATGGATAATATCCGGTGGCAACTCCGACCAGCCCGACATTTTCTTCTTCGCTTAACTTGAAAATAGTAATGCAGTAAAGTCCGGGAATATAAAGATTCGTACTCTTTAACTTATTTGACTTTCTCTGTTTGTTTTCTTGGGGTTGAGTAAATGAGTTGACTTTTCTTTCTTGCCGTGCAGTGCAGTCCTAAAGTCAGTTTTTAAAATTGTGGGAGACAAGCTAACATTTCCATCAAAACGATAAAAAAAGATTTTTAAAAATTTGAAACAAAACATACAATCCAATCTTTGCACAAGTGGTGTAAAGAGACAATCTATCTATATAATAATAGCAAACATGCTTTTCCTAAGTGCTGATGTCATCTTTTTATTATAGGAAAAAAAATCAAAATCTAACCGTGAGAATGGTCCTGAGAATATAATCTAACAGATACAGTTTTTTTTTTAGGATGAAGGATACGACGTCATGACTCACATTAGCAATCCACGTCTTCTTGGCATCTCCTCAAAGACGTCCCCAAAATAATTGCAGAAATTATTTCCCTCTAAGAGTTGCATCCTTTCACACACCGCTTTATTGTTTAAGAGATGTATCTCTTCCGAAGTCTATATATCGAAGCGATTGTTTAGGTTTTAAGCAAAAAAAAATCATTAAGGGGATCATAGGTTACGGAAGAATCGGTGGCTTTAGCAAAAAAAAAGGAAGAATCGATGGTTTATCGGCGCAAGATTTTTTCTTGTGGTTCCCGGTTAAAGGGATCCGCATGGACAGACCTTGCTCTTGTGTTATATATGTCGATGTCGGAGTTGTTCACAACCGGTATTCCTTTGAAACGTTGTAACTAGGCCCTAAATTATTGGAACATTCATAAAGAGGAAACCTCTGATGTTAGCTATATGCCGAGAAGTTTTTTGGAGTAGAATAAATATTCAAGAAGCAAATGAGAAAAAAGAGGAGAGAAGATAGAGCACGTGAAGTATAAATATGGAGGGGTAGACGTCGAAAGAGATTATCACCGTGATGGATAAGCCTTGGGGGAGAGATATAAAGTTTATGTGGTCATGGCATGGTGGTATGGTTGTCAAAACCTCAACCAGATCGGAGTAAAGGTGAGAAGAAAACAAAGGAGAAGAAGAGGAAGAAGAGCACAGTTTTGAGATTGGTTGTTGAGAGGAAGATTTTGTTCATATTTGAGTTAAGGAGAGCATACACGTATTGATTCTTAAACTAGGATATGCCACGTAAATTATAGAAACTGACGTGACGTAACTGCCATCAGAGTCATGACCTTGTGGTGGCGAGCTTTCTTTTCTACGAAAGCATCAGAAGCAACAGCTTAAATCTGGAAGGTTCAAACTGGTCTGTTGCAGCAATTTCAAAAGAACGTGGGAGGTTCATTTGTTTGCCAATATGACTGAATATTTTGTATAGATGTACTTGAATCCAATATGGGTTTAAGAAGAATCATGAAGATTAGTGAGTAATTCACTTTTGAATTCATAGAATAGGGAGATTAAAGGTGATTAGGCTAGAATTAGGATGTTTAATGTAGGTTTCTCTTATTCCTTACTAGTAGAGTATTCTTAATGCACCTTTTGAGTTGGTCTCTCAACGGTTGAGCTTTAGGCATTTCTCACCTCACAAGGTGTTCGATGAAATGCATGAGCCAATTCTCCTAAGCTTTTAACATACTTTACCAAAGACATTTGTTGTTAAAGGTATTAAGATGACTAATAGACTTGTTCCTCAAGATTACTACTATAACATTCAACCGAAGACATTTGATGTTTGAATTATGTTAGTAAATGAGCATTCATCTAGACATAGAGATTGTTTAGAAATGTGTTTAGGCTTAAGGTTGATAGTTTAATTGATCATTTGCCATCCTTAGTTCGAAGTTTGATCACCCAAGGTCTAATCCCTACTCCTATGAGTTCTTCTTTCTCTGACAAGAAAGTTATTTTAGTTATCGTTTTTCTTATTCTTAGTTATAGTTCAAAACCATTTTTTATTCGATTACATTTAGATTAAGTGAGTACTTGCATTTTCAGTGGTTTAAAATCCCTTAGAATTGGTTCGATAATCTTTTATATTACAACATTTATTTTATGAGCCTTGAAAACTCCAAACCTCAAGAGGCATGAATAATATCTCCATTCCAATGGTGAGAATCTTTCTCTTATGGTAATTTATGCTTGCTGAATCGTCAAGCTGGGAAATAACCACATTAGTGGGGATACTGTGTGATTAGACTAGGAGTTTTTCTGTTCCTACGTTTTTCTTTACCAGCATGAATTTTTTATTTGTTTGATGTTAAAAGAGAAGTGGATCATAAAATGTATCGACTATGCAGTTAGTTATGTTCATCCATTTTTTCAGGACAACTGAGCACTTTTTAATTACAGTGGCATGCAATGGTCTGGGAAGTTACTCTCCGAGGCAGGGCCGGTTCAAATTTTTTAAATGCCCCACACAAATTAAAATTTTTGGACTCTTTTTCCTTAGGTGAAAAAATTTCAAAATATTTTGGACACTTTTCTTAAGTTAAATAATTTCAAAAACGTTTGGGCCAGGCCTCTTCCGAGGAGGGTGATTGAAAGAAGTAGAAGAAGGTGCACGAGAAAGATACATTAGATTTGGAGAGAGCTTTGGTTGCTTCTAAATTTCATAGCAGAATCTAACAATTTTAGCTTGCTAACCTTTTCTTTAATTTTCTCTTACTAAGAGTATTTCAACTCTATGTTCTATTCGGAAATGAAGTATATTATACTTTTTTTTTTGCTAACTTGTAAATATCATATTACTGATGTGGAAAGATTATACATGAGCAGAATCTTAGTTCTGAAATCATTCTGGCAAAAAAAGAAAAAACAGAATGGAATAAAAACACTTTGTGAGCATTTAACTAAGCTTAGCTGAGCCACAAAGACATTAACGACATAAAATGATTTCTATGCCTCCTTGCTGATATAGAATTGCGCAGCTCCCTATCAATTCCTTTGAAAACCAAATTTGGAGTAACAGAGAAGTGTATTATACTTCTCTCAAGTAATAAAAAAAAAAAAAATTATTTCAAAATTGAAACTTCATACTGAAGATGTTCTGACAAAAATAACATAAGCAGCAAGAAAAACTAAATTATTTACACACTTTTGGCTTATGGGTATTCCGTAAGGTTAATTGTTGCATCGCAAAGCGGTAAGGCCAACCGTTGATCCGCATCTGCATGTAAGACACGTGTCATAATCCTAGCGAAAAGGCGGTCTGATACATCCTAGCTTCGATACACCGTAAAGTTGGTATTATAAAAGAAGCACCCAAGAAGAAGGAAAACAACAATAATCACCATCTTTATAGGCCCACGAGGTATCTCCATAGCTTACGGATACATATAAAATAATCATTTTAACTATTGATTAATTACCGACAAAAATCATTATTGTTAGTACTGATTTTTTTTTTAATAATAAAAGAGAGATTAGATTACCTGTTTCCTGGTCATTAATTTCTCTCCTCGTCTCCAGATTGTCAAACGAAGGACAGAGCGATTGGTGGATCCCTATATCTTCTCGGCTTCTCAATCTTCAAATTCCACCTGTCAAATTTTCAAAACTTTTCTTCGTCTGGTACGCTTCTAACAACCTTTTACTCTCCTCATTTCGTCATTATTTCATCTCGATCTGATCGATTTCGCGTGCTGATCATTGTTTTTGATGTATAATTTAGCTTTAATCTCGTCATTGATTAAATTTTTTTCTGTCTGGTGATGATTCGTGTGTGTTGACATGTTATCCGACGTCGTTTTAGGGTTTTGATTGGCGGAACCAAAGGGAGGTTACACTATGGGATATTTGAATTCTGTGTTGACATCTTCGAGTCAGGTTCACGCTGATGATGGACCTGTTAGTGGCGGCGGCCTCAGGTTTCACTTACTGTTCTAGATTTTTGTTTTTTTTTATTCTAGGGTTACGGAAGCTGGAGAAGATGTCATAGATTTACTTTAGAAATTGGGATTTATGTAGATGTTGCTGCTGTTATCAGTTTAGTTGAACACTGGAATTGATTTTTTTTTTTTTTTAATTTGCTTGTGTTATGTACAGTCAGAATGGGAAGTTCAGTTATGGATACGCAAGCTCTCCTGGTAAAAGATCTTCCATGGAGGACTTTTATGAGACTCGGATCGATGGCGTTCATGGCGAAATCGTTGGTCTTTTTGGTGTCTTTGATGGTATACATATCTCTCTCTAGTATTACTTATAAAGTTTCTAGCGTAGTAGCATGTGAAGAGTTGTAGGAGCTGATATGGTTAGGATATTTAGTAAGGTTCGGTTTCTCATTGGATAATTAGAGAAGACAGTTCTTTTCTGTTATATCAGGATTTTATATTCTGTTAGATTTAGTATTTAAGTCGTTGATGTCTACTGATCTTAGTAGGTATGATATGTAAACCATCCAAGTTACTGGCTAGTTGTTAGTATTTATCATGTTTATTTACATTTTTTATGGTAAAGGTGCTCTAAAGAGGGCAGTGTAGTGATGTAGCTGATGTTTTGTCCAGGGCATGGAGGTGCGCGTGCTGCTGAATATGTGAAGCAAAATTTATTCAGTAACCTGATCAGGCATCCGAAGTTTATCTCTGACACTACTGCAGCAATAGGTTTGTTTTCACTTTTAATCTTGTTAGCCTGATGATTCATTAAAAAGACCCGTCTGATTTTATTTCTTAATTTGGTTGCTTCTCACTTCAGCTGATGCGTACAGCCAAACAGACTCAGAGTTTCTTAAGTCAGAAAATAGTCAGAACAGAGATGCTGGTTCAACGGCCTCAACAGCCATCTTGGTTGGTGACCGTTTACTTGTTGCAAATGTAGGGGACTCTAGAGCTGTCATATGCAGAGGTGGCAATGGTAATGCTTTTTTCAAATCCTTATATCTTTTCTTGATGAGGGCTTAAAGGGAGATTAGAAGACGTTTATAGATGGTAGTAGTAAACAATACATCGTTTAGGAGGAAGTTGTGAATGTTAGTCGTTGTCTTGTCTGGTGATAATATATTTCTTTATGTCATAGCTATTGCTGTATCCCGAGATCACAAGCCTGACCAAAGTGATGAGCGCCAAAGAATTGAAGATGCGGGAGGATTTGTCATGTGGGCTGGTAAGAAAACGTTTAAGGAAACCTTTCTTATTACATACGTTTATATCGTCTACTTAATTGGTGTAATGCTAAAAGGAACATGGAGAGTTGGAGGAGTTCTTGCTGTTTCTCGTGCATTTGGCGATAGGTTATTGAAGCAGTACGTTGTTGCTGATCCGGAGATACAGGTAATAGCTTTGGACCATTATCTCCTTCCGAAGATGCTAAACCGACACTTTGCCAAATACTAATTTGTCTTGTGTGAATAAACTCAACTATGGAGTAAGGGAGTGACTATCTGTGTTATCTCATATGCACAATGTAGACTACTTTATAGTGATTTCACCAATCCTGCCTTTGTTCACTCATGAGCATATATGAATAATTTTAGGAGGAAAAAGTTGATAGCTCTCTCGAGTTTCTCATTCTTGCAAGTGATGGTCTCTGGGATGTTGTATCTAATGAGGTATGAACTATAGTTTGATTTCTAAACTAATCTTTCAAACAATACTTTTCAGTTTTACCAAACCTCGGACCTGAAAACCCATCTCTGTTTAAATCTTGTCTTATCCTCAGGAAGCCGTAGGCATGGTCAAGACGATAGAAGATCCTGAGGAAGGTGCAAAGAGACTGATGATGGAAGCTTACCAAAGAGGAAGTGCAGACAACATAACTTGTGTCGTCGTACGATTCTTTTCTGACCAGACAGGAGCAGTAGGTACCAGCAGCAACAGTATTCCAATCGATCATGGTATTGTACAAGACAGAAGCTCCAGTGACCCATCAACCTAGTTCTAATATTGGTAACGTACCTTTGGGTTTCTCAATTTCAAAATTCACCCAAAGAAACAGATGAATGTGGAAGGTTATATATTGTTTTAAAAAGGTCGAGGATATAGACAAAACTACTTTGCACGAACGTGTTTTTTTCTTGTCTCGTGTCACTTTTGTTTGTTGTTATACATTGGGTACTTGGCTATGTAAAGAAACATCGAACATATCTGTGGATTTGAGTTTCATCTCCAGAAACGTTACTTACACATGGTTTTGCAACATTTCTATAACTTCAGTAATGATTATTTCGGCATAATGAAAATAGGAAATGAATGTATAACATGCATATACTTAGAACAGGGTAAGCAGAAGTTGGAACTGCACTTAACAACGCTCCTTATCATGTCTCTTCAAGTCCCATCTTCTCTCCCAACAGGGAAAGCTGCTCAACGACCTCACTTCCGGTAAGCATCTCAGTGGCTCCATATATAATGTTCTTAACCATTGCCTGTCTCTGCGACAGCTCCTGCAAACTGTTGTACTCGATGTAGTTACCTCCACCGACCATGAAAACTATGGCTTCTCTGAACGGCCCATTCACACTAGATCCTGTCTTTGAAGCTATTGGATCCAGCATAAGGTATGAATCGGTTTCTGGATTCGGCTGTCCCTTGGTCAAGACTTCAACGGTCCGTGCCACAGCCAGCTGCTGATCACTTGATAAGAGATTCTTGACTCCTGCAGTGACTGCGCTTATAGACTGATCATACAGCTTCTCAGCCCAGTCAACAATGTTGCTTCCGTTTGCTGAGTCTGCCGCGGCTGTTAAAGATAAGTCCAGCGACTTAATCTTTTTCACGTAATAAAACGCTCTTGTGTCGACCTCTGCTTCACGCAATGCAGCTTCCACGGCTTCAATCTCTGCCTGGTTCATGGTTTTCAATGATAGTATGTACATGATGGCAAACCTCAGCTTGTCCATCTTCGTACCTTTCTTATTTAAAACATCTAGAAGCTCGCTCATGTCTATGCTGCCTCCTTTCATCATCATCTCGTTCTCTTTCTCAGTGAACACATCCAGAGACCGTTTCTTGATCTCTCCTAAGAGCTCGGTGGCGATGTTGGTGTGTTTGTCAATCATCTCCTTCCTCGCTGTCAACTCCGGAATTGAGTTCACAGCATTCATCAAATGCTTTGTGTTCCCAATCAAATTAGTTCCATCAAACTCGTTGGTTTTCATATTAACCTCTTCCACGTCTTTCTTGTAATTTTTCAACTCAGTTTCAATCTCCTCAGCGACTTGTGGAAACTCTAGAGAACCATTTGCCGACATAAACGGGTCTGAACCACCATTGAGCTTCGTCAATCCCAAAACATCATGGACAAGAGGTTTGTATCTGAAGTCATGCTGTATCCCAACAGAGAGTTCGAAGTCTCTATCGAAAATACACAACAAAGGCCGCTGCATGAAACCTTTACCACCTTCGTTAACCAGATTGGTATGTTCCCTAAGTTTCTTATCCAACGAAACCGCCACCTTCTCCGCATGTCCACCACGAGGACACTTGATCACAGGGACTACACCAAGCGTTGCCAATACACAGAAGACCCCATCAGCCACCTTCTCGATCACCTCCTCTGGTGATGGATCGTTCAGCTGAAGATAGACAGAGGGTTGTGACAAAGAAAACAAGTTATCTTCCAAAGACACAAACTCCAAGTACTGGTCATGCACCTTCGCAAATCTTCCAACGGAACCTGAAGTAAGAGTCTCTGAAGCGAGGGTGTAGAGGAGCGTACGAGGGATTGAGGAAGAGAAGTTTAGATGAAAGGTAACGTAGGGAGGAGAAGAGGAAGCATCTGTGACGATTTTCTGGATGTTGGATTCAGTAGGTTGAACAAAGTAGACAGCTACATCAGGAACATCGTCTCTTTTTGTCTTATTGGTGAGCAATTTCTTATCGATGGAAGAGTGGAGTGTAACTCCATGTTTGAGAAGATCCTTCACTGACATCAAAGGAGCGATAATCTTCTTGCAGAACTCGTCGTATATCAATATCTTGTAACGATTCTCGTTCGGGTTTGGAGGTTGGTTCAGGTTCAGCATCCTGGTTATACATTCTGCAATCAGGGGAGATCAAAAATCAAGAATCAACGAATAAGAAGACAATCGACAGAGATATGATCCATCGCACCATATATGTTATGTATATGGAGATTTGAGACTTACCAGATTGTTTATCGCGGAGATTGAGAGCCATGGGAGGTGTAACTTCTAAACTCTTCTTGTGATACCTCCTCTTATCGCTCAGTCGCTGTTTATTTTTTGCTTCGGACAAGACTATGAGTTGACAGAAAGACAACACGAGTGCTTTTGTAGGATTGTAGTCATTTTTGGTCTAGATATGGACAGGAATCTGAGAAAATTCCTTAAAATCACTCCGACTATAGAGTACATGTCATATGACCAATCGGTTTTTAACATTTGGCATATGTTTACAAAATTTTCAAAATCTCACTACAATACATCAACTAAAATTTTTTTTTTAAATAAATTTTCTTAAACTTTGATGCCCTAAAAATTTAATACCTTAATTAATTATTTTACTCATTTTAATACATAAACTTTTGAATATATGCCCATTTTAATACCTAAATTAGGTTTATATAATTAAAAAATATTAAAATTTTCTACTATCTGAAAAAATAACTATAGAGAAAATTTTAAATTTAGAAAAACTTTCATTTCAAAGAAAAAATAATTTTTTTTTCTATTTCATAAGAATATATTTTGATATATAAACTTTAAACTTTTATCATAGAAATTAAGATTATCCACAACTTATGTACTTTTATTTTCTAAAACTTCAAATAAAATTAGAATTTTTATGATCTGTTTTGTGAATTTAAGATTTTTTTTTAAAAATTTAGCACAGTCATTATTGAAACAACTACATCTCAAGTCACATTTTTTATCTTTGTAATCCCCTATATATTATTTGCGAAGTGATTTTGCCACATGTCCTCTCTACAATCAGTTTCACAAAAAATGGTGACATGTCTACTATATTTGATGACATGACATATAATTAAATATGACATGGACAATTGCATTTAATGTTAATATATATTTTTGGAAAACTTTATAAAATATGGTAACAACTCATATATTAGATTTGATGTCGATTTATATTTTTAAAATTATCATTAAAATAAATATATTCAAATATGACATTATAAATTTCGAAAATATCATTTATTTATATATTTTAAAATTATACAATTTTATTACAAACTTTTCAAAAATTTATACTTTTTTGAAAATTATTAAAATTTAATCGTAAAATTATTAATTTCTTATATATTTAAAAATTTAATAAATATTGTCTAATTTTAATTTTGATAATTATAAATTTTTCTACAAATTTATTTAATATATTTAATTAAAATAAATAGATAAAAAATTATCTAAGATTATAATTTTAAAGATATACATGCATATTCTTAAATATAATTTACAATNATTATTAAAATTTAATCGTAAAATTATTAATTTCTTATATATTTAAAAATTTAATAAATATTGTCTAATTTTAATTTTGATAATTATAAATTTTTCTACAAATTTATTTAATATATTTAATTAAAATAAATAGATAAAAAATTATCTAAGATTATAATTTTAAAGATATACATGCATATTCTTAAATATAATTTACAATAAACAAAAATATTTTTTCTATTATTTTTATGTTTAATTAAACAAAATTTTGTATTAAAATAGTGATAATAAAAATAAAATTTATAATATTAATAAAATTTTAATTTTAAACATAATTTGAAAAACTTTATAAAATATGGTAACAATGCATATATTAGATTTGATGTCGATTTATATTTTTGAAATATTTTCAAAATGGTAATAACTCATAAATCATCATAAAATTAAATATATTCAAATATGGCATTATATATTTCGAAAATATCATTAATTATATATTTTAAAATTATACAATTTTATTACAAACTTTTCAAAAATTTATACCTTTTCTGAAAATTATTAAAATTTAATTGTAAAATTATTAATTTCTTATATATTTACAAATTTAATAAATACTGTCTAATTTTAATTTTTGATAATTATAAATTTTTCTACAAATTTATTTAATATATTTAATTAAAATAAATAGATAAAAAATCTATCTAAGATTATAATTTTAAATATATACATGCATATTTTAAAATATGATTTAAAATAAACAAAAATATTTTCTATTATTTTTATGTTTAATTAAACAAAATTTTGTATTAAAATAATGATAACAAAAGAAAATTTATAATATTAATAAAATTTTAATTTTAAATGTAATTTATATAGTATCTGTTAAAAAAATATTTTAAATTGTCTTACTGCACATGGTGCAGGAGAACACCTAGTATCACAATAGATCACATGTTGCTACTGACACACTTTTGTCCAAGTTTCCTTCGTTACAGAAAGAAAAGGAGAACATGCTAATTCTATCCTTCTTTCTCTAGCAATAAATTTTTCTTTTTCTAGGCTTCTCCTCCCACGACACCCTCTTGTCTTCCACCGCCAACCACTTATCCTACATCTCCTCTCCCGTCTTCTACTCCTCTTACTCCATAACCGTCTCTTCCCACACCTACTATTTCTTCGGAATCCCCTACTTGAAACCCTCCAACTTCAGTCTTAGGACCACGTCAAATCCTTTAAGCAACGGCGGAGGAGGATCTCCTCGAATTCCATCTTCATCGTCTCCTTTATCAGATTGGTTATCATCAGAAGTGGTGGTTGGTAACGCTATCGGAGGATTCGTTTTGCTTATGATAATGACTCTAGTTTGTCTTCTTTGTAAGAAGAAACAAATAAAATGCTTACTATGCTTCTTCACCACCCCCTCCTGGTCTCAGAAGTATTAGGTTGTTATAGAATTGTAATTTTTCTTGAAAATGTTATTAATTTATTATAAAGTTTCAATCTTTTTGCAATGTTCTAGAAATGTTTATGTGCTGGTGCTTGAAATCTGGAGATGGTAAGTCTCATGACTTTGTACTTTCTAATAGTCTCAAAATCTGTATCAGCTGGTTATTCATCTGGCCATGAGCTCAATTGCAGATACAATACATGTTATCTGTTGTTTTTTTTTCTCTTTGAATAGTTAATCTTGGTTTACGATTGATGGGTTAATTCTGTAGAATTTTACAAAGTCATTGGCCATGAATTTTTGGAAACCGGCAACAAGAAGTTTTCGCTACTGATGTAAGTGTTCATCTTTGTTTTTATTTTCTTATCTTTATGCTCATTGGTTGTCAAGTGCCTCTACATGATGGTGTTTGCTCCTCCTCAGAGACTGTAATCCCAATGAGAAATTAAGACCTGTCTCAGGTCATGATGAGAATCAACTCTCCACTTTTTTTTTAGAGTGACAAGAGTGCAATTATTTATGAATCAAAGAGGAAAAGGTACAAAACCAATAAGGAATCTATGTATTTAGCTAAATGTGTTGTTTTTTCTATAAACGGAAGGTGTACATGTGGATAGTTTTTATAGTATACATGTGCATAATCTTAACGGTATACATGTAGTTTCATCATAAAGATGTACATGAAAAAAGTGTACACATGGATTTTTTGTTGTTGTCCATTATCTTAAAACATACACATGCGTACTAGATTTGTATATATTTAAGTGTGTCAGATTTATCTAACATTGTATCTAGATACCTTATTAATCTTGCATTATGAAATTTTAAAACCAACACAATGTGTGTATAGGTAATCTCATTAGTCTCATGAAAACAATGTACATGACAGAAGTGTACACATAAATACTACTTTGTTGTCCATTATATTAAAAGATGCAAATATGTGTACTAGATTTATAACTATTTAGATGGGTCATATGTATCGTACATGATCTACCTACCAAAATTTTGTACATGTGTACACCAACAAAAATGATTGTACACAGATACAAACATATACCAATGACAATGTAGGCAACAAAAAATCCAGTTATGGTATCAAATTTGAAAACCAGATCCATTATTTCTAAAGAAAAATGAACAACCTTGAAAACCATATCCAACATAGCGACAAGCTCCTTAGACCCAGACGACAAACAAACATGTCTGTCATAAAGGAGCCACAAAGCACGAAAACGGAGCACTCGAAACTAGTTTAGAGCTCTGTTCGTTTTCCACTCGTAATCAGTTATGTCCTCCGTTTCTCCCCGTCGTCAAGTTGGAAGAGAGAGCTAGAGTAGATGAGGCGTCTCCTCTAACCATGCGCCGTCGTCGAGCTGGAGTCTCCAAAGATATGAAGATTGAAAACCAGATCCGAATCATTCATTTCCCCTAAAATCCGACCCCCTCTTGTGTCTCGCTGCTGCTCGTGAAAAGGTCAATGAGTGGCTCCGACAAAAGTATGTCGCATCTCCGGCTAGGTCTCAGCTCTCCAGAACAACAAGTATGTCGACGAAGAAGAAGATAGGGAGGAAAAGAGCAAAGGTGAAACGAGAGAGGGGTGAAGAGAGTAACCTATTGCACCGGAAACAGCTGGACCAAAGTTTGGATTTTGAACAGATGGCGGCTTTTCTTTTTGAGAGAGATGGGGATTTTCACACTAATGAAAGTTAAAAGCAATTTATTAATGTTTTAGGGGTAGTTTCGTATTCAACCATAAAGAAAGTGTCTCAATATACCAAAGTGATCTATTGTAATAAATAAAATCATAAAGTGACCCACGACTTTATTTTATCATCATATTAATGGATCAGGGTATAACTTGAATTTAAAATCACAAACAGTGGCAAATGCAAATTCTAAAGTATAATATATTCATTGTTTATATAAAGTGAAAAGTACTGTATTGGATTACGGTTCGATTAGTTTGATGGATTTTAGCTTATAGTTTTAGCATATCTTACATATATGTATATATATGATAAAGTTGAAAAATAAACCTATTTTCATATATGTTCATTTTATAATATACTGATATCTATTGATTTTTCAAAATAATAATTTTTGCTAGCTATTTAAAACATATATTAATATTAATTAATTTTGGCCCAGTAAAATTTTGCTATGGGTCTGAGTACAACAGTTTCTTATATTCTCCTAAGAACTTTGCTTTAAGAAATTTTAGATAATGATGCTCTAAGGTACAAATAAATATAAACATGACGACAACAGCAAAAATGTTTCAAATTCTAGTAAGTCAAAATGACAGATATGAGATAACAATGATATGTATAACATGTTAGGTTGTATTTCATTTGGAAGGAGAATAATGGAGAAAAGAATAATAATAATAATAACTAGATCTCGATCCGCGCAACCGCACGGGTGTCTGTTTTCAGTTATTTATTTTTATAGAAACATTTTGTTTTCACTTCTAAATTGATATATATATATATATATATATATATATATATATATATATATATATATATATATGTGGTGTGTATATCAATTTTTAAAAGATAATAGTTTTATCATATATTAATTTTTCATCGAATATTTTGTTTCAAATATTTACATGTATTTGTATATTCTTCTATATATATTGTTTCGGATTATTATTTCATTATTGAAGTCGTAAATATATGTAAAGATTGGTAAAATATTGTTTTACTCTCATCTTTAAAGATATTGTAACATTTCTGAAATTTAGAAAGTTTAACAAAAATAAAAATTTTAGCTTCATATTTTGGAGTAAATAATTAGACATTTAGTTTTTTTTTTTTAAAAAAAACTATATAACTTAGAAAATGTTTTCATTGGCTTAAGGTAGTATAGATTAATCATTGTTAGAAAATGATGATTTTTGTATTTAAAAAATAAACTATATGATTTTGAAAGTTAACATCGACAAATATATAAATAATTAAATTATGAAGGTATACTTTATAACACTAAATTATATATCTATTTAATTTAACATGTGTTTTATTTTACTATCTATAAATTCAATGGGTTATCCAATTGTTGTTAGCCCAATAAAAAAATTTGGAAAGCCCAAAATTATAGGTACTAATTTTAAGGTTATTAATTAATGACTGAATAATGTTATGTGATAAATTTTAGTAGATGTTTCATTTTAAAATATCACACATGAATTGAGTCATGACTTCTCTTTTAATATAATAGACTAGATCTCGACCCGCACAACCGTGCGGGTATTTTAATACGAAAATATTTGAAATTATGTAATAGTCACTCAGTTTTAGATAGATGATGTTTTAAAAGATTTATTCTATTTTAAAATAGAAGATGTTTTGAGATTTTAAGGTATATTTTGAGGTTTTAAAGTTATCTTTAACTTTATTGGAAACTGTTCTCTCGATAAATGTTTTTTTTTTAATAATTGGTTGAATAATTATAAAATTATATCTTTAAAAATACTTTTTGTAAAAGAATGTAAATTTTTTAATCTTTGTGCAATGATCCCAAACATCATATATTAAGAAAAAAATGGAGTAAAATTATCAATAAATAAATATAATTTGATTGAAATACTATCCAATTTTATAATAATATTTATGTGGCTTATAATATATTAATTTAAAATTTATAAATTTATTTTCTGTAACAATTTATAAAAACATTATTANAAGAATGTAAATTTTTTAATCTTTGTGCAATGATCCCAAACATCATATATTAAGAAAAAAATGGAGTAAAATTATCAATAAATAAATATAATTTGATTGAAATACTATCCAATTTTATAATAATATTTATGTGGCTTATAATATATTAATTTAAAATTTATAAATTTATTTTCTGTAACAATTTATAAAAACATTATTATGTAACACCACTATTTTATGAATTTTTTTTATTTCTAAATTTTAAATATATATAAAAAGTAAATTAAATTGGACCTACAATATACATAAAAAAAATTTGGGATATTTTTAAAAGTATATTACATAATTTTAATTTTATGTTTATAAATTAAAAATGAATTAAAGTTTTTGTTATATTCTATGATAATTATATTTTTAATCAAATAATTTTTGAAATTATATCTTGAAAAGATTCTATAAGATTTTTAAAAGATTTTGTTAGAATTTTCTTACAATATTTATTTGTATTTCAAATAAAATTAAAGATATGAAAAGATATTATAATGATGTTATGTAAAATTTTATAAAATTTCTAAGGATTGTCCAAACTTAAAAATCACACATGAAGTGAGTCATGACTTCTCTTTTAATATAATAGACTAGATTTTGACCCGCGCAATCGCGCGGCTGTTTGTTTTCGTTTATAGTTAGTTATATAAATATTTTTTTCACTTGTTAATTGGTATATATTATAGTATTCACATATTTACTATATGTATAGTAAATATTTTTCAAACATAATATTATTATATAATACGTGTTTAAATCAAATAGATTGTTTCAAAAATTATATATATTATACAAATTTGTTTCCTCTTCTATATTTTATTATTTGTTAGATTAGTATTTCATTTTTAGATAAAGTAATATAAATAGAGCTTGATTAAATATTAGTATACTTTAATTTGCAAAGATAAATAAACTTCAAAGAATTTTTTGTTAAAAACTAAACTTATAACTTCATAAATTAATATTATAAAAAATTATTTAAAAAGAATTTTTTAAACAATTTCTTTTTTAAAAGCAATATAATTTTAAAAATTTACATCGAAATAAATTTATCTAGTATATATAGCGTGCAAATTTTGTTAGCGTATATAAATATTCCATATTACGAATCTGTGATTTTTCTTAATATATTGTGGATGCATTTAACTATTATTGACATATTTCCTTATAAATAATAGAAGATTCCTAAACTTATATCTATTAATATATTTTACGTGATTAAGTTGGAAGGTGTGGGGGTAATTTACCAAAACTAAATTATTAAATGTATCTTTGTTATTATAGATATTATTTTTCATAAGATATAATAATGATAAGATTATTAGAGAGTTAATGTAACATGAGTTCCTAGTAATAGTCCATTTTGGAAAAAATCACACATGAAATCAAGTTATGGCTTCTGTTTTAATATATAAGATGAGTCTTACTTGTTAATTATTTTACCTGAAATACAGCTTGGACGGCAAGCACAACGTCAACGCATTTCACATGTAGATTGTATTTCATTCGGAAGGAGAATAATAATAATAATAATAATAATAATAATAATAATAATAATAATAATAATAATAATAATAATAATAATAATAATAATAATAATAATAATAATAATAATAATAATAATGGGTCCTACTTGTGAATTATTTTACATGAAATACAGCTTGGACTGGACGGCAAGCAACAACGTCAACGCATTTCCTCAACCCCAATAAGTGAAAGAGTATATATCTCTATTAGAGGAACACGAAGAAGAAGAAGAAGAAAATGTCGGGATGGTCGGAGTTGCCACGGGATGTTATCCATTCGATCTCCTTGCAAATCGACAATCCTTTTTGTTTGATCCACTTTCGGTCAGTTTGTTCCTCTTGGCGATCAGTATCCTCAAATTCCGACCAATGGCACCGCTTAAATGCCCAGTACTTCCCCTTTCAGGCCGTTATCTTGGTGATTGCCATATCTTGAACAGCCGTGTTTACCTCCTCAAGTCTCCTAATAGCAGCCCTACACCCAAATACTGGTAAGAAGAAGAAAAATTAAAGGAAAGCTATATAATAATTGAATCTTGATGATAAATTGAATTCCTGGCAGGTTGTTTAGGCTACAACAGACCGAAGATGGAGAAATTGTTCTATATAGTTTGTTCTTAAGAAGAAACTATTCTGAGTACAAATGCTTGTATCCAAAGCTTTCAATTAACTTGCTCAACTATCAAATTTTCGTGCTAACTTATTACAGTGAATGTTGTATACCCAATAATGTGTTCGACTGGGTAGAACCTATCGGCTATATGGGTTTAGATGGAAAGAACAACAAGTTTACTATTCTTGGGAAGCTCTCATTTGAGGGTCTCGCGATGTATAGGTCAGTCGAAGAGTGTTGGACAGAGTTAGAGATAAGATTTGATTCAGCTCCCCAAGGAATAGTTTCATATAAAGGTAAGTTCTATGCCCTAGATCGCATCGGGAGAACAGTAGTGGTAGAGCCGACAACACTAGAGGTGAACACGTTGCAGCGGTCAAGGCCATGTGATGATAAGACAAGGAGAGGTTGGGTAAGGAGACTAAGTTTTTTTAATAAGACAAATTAAGTTACGAAGATCATGTTTCTAAAATTAGGTTTATGTTTTCGTTTGTTCTATCTGTCATCAACAGCTTTTAAAGTCAGCGGACAAACTCTTTCTTGTGGAGATGTACGGAGAAGGGGGATATGATAAGATATGGTTTGAAGTCTCAAAACTAGATGAAAAGAGAAACGAATGGGATATATACTAGTAAAAAAAATCAAAATAGCTACGGTACATTCGTAGCAAATCGTAGCTATATGGAGAGCTTGCTACGAATTTCCGTAGCTATTCGTAGCAAGCTCTCCATATAGCTACGATTTGCTACGAATGTACCGTAGCTATTTTGGTTTTTTTTACTAATGGATCAAGTTGAAGATGTGGACGGTCTCGTGTTGTTTTTGGACTATCATTGCTCCTTCTCGTGCCTAGCTTCTGAGATTCCGGGGTTTAGAGCCAACTCTTTAGTCTTCTTGGACACGTGGGATACATCTGACGACTTAGATTTACATGAAAGAATTCTTGTGTTTGAATTCAGTGATCATGGCGTTAGATCTTTAAAAGATATACCAGAGTATGTTGAGCTGTTTCGAACTCCCCCAGGTTGGGTAATCTCCAACGAATGATCTCATTTTTAAGTAACTATGTTTGCATTTCTAAGACTTTTGGCTGCTAATAATTATATGCTACTTTGATTTTTTTATTTTGTAAACCTAGACCAAAAACTATTTGTATCACCTTGTAATGAGATGAGTTGTTCACACCTACAAATCAGGAAATGTAGCCATAAAATGATTTTGGTCCATGGAGCAAATTAAAACAACATTTAAAATCATTACTGCATCAGCATATAACTTGAACGTCAAAAGTACAAGTGAATATAAACGTGACAACAGCAACAGAAATGATGCAACCTTTAGTTAGTCAGAAAACGACCGATATGAGAAAACAATGATATTTAATATGATAATGTGAGATTGTAGTCTATTCGGAAGGAGAATAATGGAGTCCCGCTTGTTAATTATTTTACATGAAATACAGCTTGGAGTCTTGGACTAGACGGCAAGCAAGAAAGTCAACACATTTCTTCAAACCCAAGAAACAAACAGAGAAAGTCAAACAAATTAAAATAGTATAATATACCTTTATACCTATATACAGAATGGTGTATCTGATTCTCTCGATAGGACAGCTAGGTCTTTCTATCGTAAACTTGTGTATGTTGGTTGTTCTATTCCGGTCTGGCTTCCCAGACTACCTCAAGTTCCTTGAGTAATAGATCAGCCGTTTGATATTAAAAAAAAAAAAAAAATTGCATTACTACTCCAAAGTAAAAGAAGAAGGAAATGTCTGGCTGGTCGGAGTTACCACCGGAGATCATATACATGATCTCTCTGAGAATTGACAACCCATTCGATATGATCCATATTCGATCAGTATGTTCATGGTGGCGATCATCATATAGTATTCAAACATTCCGACCAATTCCATCACTTAGATGTCCTCTTCCTCCAGATGCTGGTGGTTGCGGAGATGATTGCCATATCTTGAGGAGCCCTATTTATCTTGTCACATCTCTCTCTCACGTCTCCTGCAACAGTTTTGATCCATATATATATGTTGGCCATTTTTGTTCCCTTTTTTTAACTGATTCTTGAATTTTAACTAATGTGTTACATCCTTCTATGTTTTGACTTTGTGACAATTAATGGATTGGCCATGTCACTTATACATTATTCAGTGTCCATCAATTTGGATTTGGGATATCCATCATTAATCCAGACAATATCCCAATGTAGGATTAACTTCGTTAAAATCATCCACTACTAATTTCTTGTTGGACCGATTTTGGTTTAAATCGATCAAACCTCATTTGATTGGTCAGATCGATTTTTGTTTGTCGGGAACTATACCATGCTAATTTTTATGGGTTTTTATCTCAAAATCAATTACTCGAATTCCCATCATATTTCAGATATGAGAGATTTTCTAGCATAATCCATTTTAATTTATTTTCACAAAAGAATCTTCAAATAAAAAAGTCACCAAAATAGATTATATTAAAGGATAAACATACTCTTATATTTCTGTGGTTAACTAATCTTACTCATTTTTAATTAGAGTTAAGTGATGGAGTTTTAGGGATAAGATTTAAACTATTAAAAATAGAAAATAATTTTTTTGAAAAAAATTAAAAAATTTCAAACACATTTTTGAATTTCAAAACGAAAACATTTTTTTCAAAAAAGAAAATTCGAATTTGTTACAATATAATCTGAAATTCTATGAAAAATATTTTTAATTTTAATTTTATATTTGTATATGTATAAAAGTATGGATAGAAGATTTTTTTTGTTTATTTTCCTTCTTGGATGTTAATTTAATGATAAAAACTTGGAAATGATCTATTTGAGAGGTGTCTTTTAGTTATTGAATATTTATTCTTCACAAAACGGATATTTAGTCTTGTCCTACTTGAGAAAGAGAGAAAATCTTAGATGAGGCTTTGATTCTCGCAGGTTGTTTAAACTACAAGAAGAGGAGAATGGAGCACTTTCTCTGCAATCTTTGCTCAATGCTACACCTATTGGTGCGACCTATATGATGGTCCTGGTAGTTCTAAATGTGAACAACTTGTCGGTTTTATGCGGTTAGATGGAGAGACCAATGAATTCATGGTTTTGGGAAGGCTATCTCTCCAAGGTCTTGGCATGTATAGGTCATTTGAGGATCGTTGGACCAAGATCGAGACAACATCTGGTCCTTTTCCAGATAGGAGTACTTCGTTTAACGGACAATTTTATGTCATTGATACTGCTGGAGTCACAAAAGTGGTCAAGCCAACTCTAGAGTTGAATTCGTTTCGTCGGTCAAGGGCCTCAAGGCCTTGCCGTAAGACAAGGTAACGTTGGGTAAGGGGGAACATGACTTCTCTAAAACATACTCAGCTTTTCCCGCCTCCCTCATGGATCGTTTGCAACGTATGATTATCACAAAACATAATAAAACAAAAATGCTTGCTTGTATCATTACCTTTCAAACCGCAAAATTGTTTGCCTAGAAACAAAATTATGTGTGTTTTATCCCAAGAAAATGTATACAAAATGTACTTTTCTTTGTATAAGCATTTGATCTGGTTTATAATATCTATCATGTATCAGCAATTTGGCTTTGGATTCAGACTTACAAATTATTTATTCTTTCATTCTTGTGACTTTAGACTTATATTTTATAAATCTTGACAAATAGACTTTTGGGATATATATATATATATATATATATATATATAATTGATTTTTTACTGTTTAAAATTTAATGTTTCCCTTCATTCTTTTGGTCTCTTTTCCGAATAACTTGGTTTATCACCAGATGACCAATCTTTAAAAACTGAAAATAAATAAATCTAAAAAATAAAGGAAATTTATTAGAGATTGTCAATGACGTGAAACATGCTATCCCTTGACTTTTATGGAAGTGTTTCACGAGTCCTGGTGTGTCAAGATGAATGAAGCTATACTTCTATGTGAAGAAGAACTGACAGTGAAGATGTCAATGGAAAGATAGTTTTTATGGATTATTTTACTTGCGTCACCGATACAGACTAATTGGTGCCAGAGTCCAGAGTGGTATTACACACAATAGCTTTTACTAATACGATCACGAAACCATTTTATAAAAATGAAGTATTATATTGGAGCAAAGTGGTATCTGAATAAATATTATGAATATGTGGACCGTTAACAAGTAAGGCGTTCTCGACCCAAACATGTCGTTAATTGTATTTTGTACTAGATTTAGATTTTGACCCGCGCGCATGCGCGGAAATGTTTGTTAACTTGCAAATTTTAATAGGATTTATAATAATACATATGTCTATAATAATAACTTATTTTCAGATACAAATTAAGTTCAATATTTTATATTTTGTAAATAGAATTTGAAATTAAATTGTATTATTTATATTTTAACAAATCGATAGATGGTATTAATAATTTTAAGATGTTTCGAATGTATTGTGCAATCTACTTAATATTATATACACAATAAACAATACAATCAGTTTCACGTATTGCCCAACTAATTAAAAGTATTTGGGCTATCTAAATTGTTTACTGATAATTTTCACGTATTGCCCAACTAACTAAGAGTACAAAAGATAAAATCATAGATGGTCATCGTTTTGACCCAGCTTGAAAGAATGTGATATTTTACATGGTGAAAATGTAATAAAAACACATCAAATATTTTGTTATGGATGTTATAATAAGAAAACATGCACAATTTTAACCCATTTTGTTTAGGAACTTTCCAATTTTAACTTCGTTTTATTCAAATCCGTCTTATTTAGTTTTATTTCGTTTATCTCCTTCTATTTGGAAACCAACTCATATTTTGTAAATATATTTTTATACTAAATTTTAAAAGCTATAATATAACATGTCTTACCAGATTTTGAA